ATTTTTATTTGATAGAGAAAATTTTACACATTACAGTGGTACCTTTTTCACGGATTAAAACGAGGTAGATCGAGAGTTAGAAGCAAATAAAGAGAATTGCTTCACTTTTGCAACTTTTGCGCATGCTCAAGAAAGCTTGAAAACGGCAAAGAAAAGGCGAAAAAGTCATAAACATGGGTTTTGTGACCTTCCCTTTCTAGCTGAGCGAAAATCGTGCCAATCGGGGGCAATTTTCATTTTCGTGATTTATTCGGATTTTCGGGTCTGCGTTTCTCACGAAAATGAAAATTGCTCTCGATTGGCACGAATTTTACTCAGCTAGAAAGAAAAGGCCTTACAAAACCCAAGTTTATGACTTTTTCGCCTATTCTGTGATGTTTTCAAGCTTTTTTGATCATGCTCAAAAATTGCAAAACTGAAGAAATTCTCTTCATTTGCTTCTAACTCTCGATCCACTTCATTTTAATTCATGAAAAAGGTACTACTGTAATGTGCAGAATTTTCTCTATCAAATAAAAATACTTCCACAATTTTTCGTGATCCAGCTTGAAAAATGTCGATCTTGACTAATTTCCTTCAATTGCTTTCAACTCTCCAACTTACCAACGCTAACTCATGTCAAAGGCACCGATATAAAGAAAAGGGTTTCTTGTTTCACATAAAACTAATGTTGAGAAAACTCATTGAGAAGAAAGGAAGTTATGATTTTTTAAAGATCCGGCGCAAGAACTTTTAGGACAACCAAACACATATACCAGTGGCATATCCAGGATTTCGGCTCCGGGGGGGGGGGCGGTAAAAATTTTTTTAAATGAAGGTGCGTGGCGTCAGCACGCACTCCTAAAATTTTTTAGGGGGGCTTCTCATCTTTGCGGGCCCCAAGCCCTAAGTGGCCTCAGCCACGCCCCGAAAAAAGTCTTTCTATAAGGCTAATTTGAATTTTTGAGAAATTTAAAAAATTATTTTAATTGTTTACAAAAATAAACAAGTTACTTGTACATTTTTATAACCCATTTAAGTAACTTCCAAAAATTTCGCGACCCGTTCCCTATACACATATACATATACACATCACATATACACATACACATATACACATACACATACACCACACACACTCAAATCAAAGAACAAACACGTAACCGTTACTAAATCAAGAAATGATCCATTACTGCTCCTGATCAAGTAAAGCCTGTTTGATATTATCATAACTCATAATAAGCCGCTAATTTGTCGGTCTGTAAGTCCGTCTGTTACGAAATTACAGTGAGGCATGATTTACGATACTAAACATTAAGTGAGGTTCACATAGCGAGATGGTTTATTTTCAAGTACGGCTCTCACGTTGCAGTCAACCGAACAATGATTTTAGAGACAAGCTCTCAGAGAGTGAGTTTATCACGGGTTCATGATGGCCAGTGCGAACCTCTGCGAAGCAGAGGTGAAGCACTGGTCATAATTTTATAGCACATAATGAGATTATGACACTAAAAATTGACTAATACTTATTAACTGCATTTTGTGTTTGCAAGTCAGCCAGTTGGTGCATTCATCATATCCTTACTTACTCGGATACCTAGATGGCTCGCCTTCTCGTAACGTGGGGGTCTCACAAGGGAAGAACACTTGATCGAAGTGCAGTTTCCATATGAGACGTATATCATCTTATAGAGCATGGAACGCTGATTTTGAATCTGCTTTCTATATCTGCAAAGCTCTTTTGGATGGGAGTATTGAGCGTTTTTTTTTGGGGAATATTCAAGGTTTTGGTTAAGGTAAAAAGTGAAAGTTGAGGTCTTTTCGGCGCCTGATTGGAGTCACGACTAGCTCAAACTTATTAGACTAAAAGTGTTAACTGCACGAAGCACCCTGGCAGTGAACATGATTCCCTCCAAGCTCACTTACTACAGTTTTAAATGATTTTATTGTGGTTGCGTCCTGAAATTTTTGCGTCAGGAATTGCCATATTTTCCCTCCTAGAAGCGCTTTGCAGATACCGTAAGCAGATTTGGAATCAGCGTTCCATGCTCTATAAGACAGTTTACATGTCTTGTGGAAACGCCACTCGACGAAGTATCCTTCCCTTGTCACTGTAAAAACTTCCACTGTTCCTTGTAGCGCGCTCCAAAGAAATTACATACATGGCCCGTCTTCGCGTGACCTTCAGATGTTCCCAGCGTCCATCTGTCGTCTGTTCTTCTCGTAATGTGACCAACTCATCGGTGCTCCGCTTTCACAACGTATTCCAGGGTCACGAAAAACATTCTTCTCATATTCGTACTGCGAAGTTCAACAAGATGCTGTTTGCGTCAGGTCATCTTCAGAAGACTGCGTCTCAGCTGCCTTCGGTGGCTTCCTTAGGTGGTCCAGGCTGCTGTTCTTCTCCTGTTAAGTTCTTCTCGTTTTCTCCATGTTTATTCCAAAATTCACGTAAGAAGAGGTCTCCATGGTAGGTGTGCTTTTCAGATTCATTTCGCATGTTCCCAAAAAGCGTTTTTCATGAATGGTGTCTGCTTCCAATTTATTCGCAAACCAATCCTCTTCCCTACTTTGTTTAAACCCTTCAGCATCACCTCTGCTTCACTGATACTGCTTGAAATGAGAACGATGTTGCTCTCCAAACGAAGGTTTGACAGAAATATCCCATTCTCGTGTGCCTCCTGCTTCGGCGAAATTGTGTTGCCTTGTCGAACTCTGTTCCCAATTGAGACGGTCAGGGGGCGATGGAGTAGCTGCATCGTCGTTGTACATCCTTGTGCAATCGGCTATCCTCTGTAAGCTGGGTATATTCTTTGTTCGATTAGCGCCGACAGAAAGCGCTGGTTTCGACACTATCACAAACTTCTCGTAGCCGACGAAAATTGGGAAAAGAAGCAATTGGCATTTTCGACCTAAATCGTCTATATATGGCCCACGTAGCCGAATTCTTTACGAAATCCAGCTTATTTTTGGAGTTGAGCTTTATCCATGTTCTTGATATGGCGAGAGTAATCTTCGTAACAGGTTTGTACAACACAACAGGCATATTAAGTTCGTAAGATCCTAGAATGCTCGTCTTTCTAACTTAGATCATGGTAAGCAACAGTGAAATTTGTAATGTATCTTCCCCAATGAACATAACGCGCATCACCATAAGCTGAAGAGGTTAGTATAGATTTTTTACATTAGATTTCATCTTATATCGGAAACTAGTCGGGGTACCGTACCCGTTTAATAGTGCAGCCAGCGTTATGTAATACTCACAGCGGTCCCTTAGGCACCTCTCAAGACTGCGTCTTCCTTCGGCTGCTTGCAGTCTCCGCTTTTTTATACTTTCGAAAATCCTTCTGAAAAGCTGTTTCGCAAGTGATTGGCCCGCTGTCGCTCGAGATGAGTTGCAAATGGGTTCTGCCAAAGAACTCTGTTCTTCCAATCAATTTTTTAGTGTTTCACTTTCAAAGGCCGGTCGTTGTCGTACGCTGGGTAAGTTTTCCCTAGTTACGACCTCTTTAACGTCTTCGTAAAAAGCATCCAATTCTAATGACGTCTGGACGACAGAACCAACGCTTCTAACGCTTCGTGATGGGATTTTTCCACCACCTTATGGCCGTCCCATCACCTCACTCAACTGTCGCACGTCATTCTTCTTAGGCTTTGTACGCACGTTATTCCTGTAGAGCGATACGTGACACTCGATGTGTTCTGTAGCGTCGGGAAGAGAGTGGAGGTCTGCGATCGGAGGCTGTCATGGAGTTGGCGTGCAGAGCATGGGACGATTTCTATGCCGTGTTGTCGCAGATGTCGTATTTGTCCAATCCAGATGGTGTCCTGTGTAACTTGATTGGTCTTGTCAATGCCTCGCGCAAGTAGGCTCCGATGGGCAGTGTTCCCTTCTTGCTGATCAGAAAGAGTTTTTTTTCATAAGAGCAGATATACCATGCTATGCCTTTGCCTTCCACGTGCAATCGCCGACCTTCAGAGTCGGAATAGGAATTGCCTGCTAAGCCTAACCCAATGCAGACGAGATGATCTGATCTGGCTTCGTTCGCTCTCAGCAAGGCATCCGGTCGAAAACAGACCTCGGTCCGCAGCATGGGACCCTTTCAGAGAATACCCTTGGCTGTGCACTGTAGGTCGGCACCTCACGTCAAACATGCTCCATCTTAAAGGGCAATGAAACAGCGGCACAGTGGGACCTCAGATCTCAAATTTCAAGGAAATCGCAGGAAAAAAGTGAAAAGTGTGAGAGGAATATTTTATGGTAACAATGTTTTTTTCCTATTTTCCTGTTAAGTCTGCGATTACCATTAACATCTTCACTCACTACGAAAAAAGCTTAATAGTTTTGAAATCTAAGGTCGCAATCTAAAGCTTCCAGCTGAATAGAAGTTTTCACACAATTTGCCGATGATATGACATCAAATTTGGTGCACATCTGCGCGCAAACAACGTTGCATTGTTAAAGTAAATCCAGCCGGTAACGTGCCAGGTCTAAGTCCGGCTAGCTGGCCGCTGAATCACTTTCATACATAATCTGCATGTTGTAAGCTACCAATACGCTTCATACATCTTCTCTCCTCTTTTTTATCGCAAACTCCCAAACAACGCAATCAGACCGCGAACAAAATCGCATTGATCGGTCAGTCGTCAGTCCCAAGCCATAAAAAGATAAGATTTGTTTTGTATCCTGCAGAGGTAGCTCTATTCATTTGTTATCTGAATTTCTTTACGTGATAAATGTAAAATTTGGGAAATTAGCGAAGTTTGAACCGTGACAACATTACTGGGTCGTTGTTTTTGGTCATTTTCTGAAAGCCCATCAGTCAATGTGGAATAAGGGAATCGCAAAGGGATGATAAGCTGCATTGAATGGGTTCAAAGACTCTTTTGAAGATTTGTTTTGTGCGATGTCACGTATATTTGAGAAAAGCGTAATGCTTTTGGAACAATATATTTAATACTGATGTTCTGCGTAAGACTTACTTCAGATTTGCACTGGTTGCTATAGTTTGCTTTTTAAGGTAACATAAACATACGAGTGGACAAAATAATTGAGGAATTCAAGGATGATATTGGCATATATACTATTTATTGGACATTGGATACCTATGAAGAAAAGGCCACGAAGGATTTTGATTATGAGCTAAGGTTAGACACACACATGTTTTTTTGACAATACAAAAAACAAATTGGCGTCGAAGAATTAGGTCATCCACTTTTGTATCGATTGATAGTAGAGCATGAGTGCTGCGGACATGTCTTGCTTTCTTTCATTTTTCTCACAGCCTACTTCAGCTTCAAGCTGATTTATCTATCTCACAACATGTCTAACATCTCAAAGACAGGATCGTTGCGTTCAATTTCGCTAATACATATTTACACAATAATTTTGCGAACAAAATGATAGTTGAATGTGAAAGAAAATACCTAAAGAAATTCCTGTTAGGAAGCACTAATCCATATACCCTAATTTCACGCGTACAAGGCGCGGGGTGGTCCTAGCTTTCATCGACCAGATCGAACACGGCAAAGGACTTCGCAACCAAAGGAACCCCATACCGTGCTGCGTTTTGCCTGACGAATCGTGCGGCATAAGGATCGCTTCTTAAAACATGTTGGGGCGGCTGAGCAGCTCGATGAAAGCTAGGACCACCCCGCGCCTTGTACGCGTGAAATTAGGGTAATGATAAGAGAAAGCTTGTCAATTTACAGTCTGCCCCAATCCTAACCAGGTCAAAATCGGCATGGTGGGAGTCCGCGCTGCGAGAGTTTCGCGCCACATCTGCGGCTAGCTAGTCTGTTCTCTCACCGATCTCTTCACTCTCTGCGACAGCGCGCGTATGCAGCGCAATCCCCTAACGCTGCGAGCGCGCAAATTCAGCTTACGGTTCGGCCTGATCCCGATTGCGGCAGACTGTATTAGTTGTAGAGATTCACGAGTGGTTGAGATCAAGCTACTGAGTTCGCAGTGTTACCTTACGAAGCTTCACTTTTGTTTCAAGATCGATTGTCGCAGACAAGTGAAGGTCAAATTCAAAAGTGGAGATAAGTACAATATACTCCTAACTGACGACTGTGCACGATTATAGGACGTTGGCGCAACTCTCTCCTTTTTTTTGCTGTCTATCGTGCATGTTCGTATTTCGATCTAGTGGTTCTTGCTTGCTTGCGCCGAATAAAGATCAAGATGTGGCGCTATTGCCCAAACTCAAAAAAGCGGCAAACACTAAAATATCAAAAACAAATGTTCAAAATTTGTCATTTTTGGTGATAACTTTGAAATCCATAGGAAAGAAGTGAGAATTGAAAAGAATTCATTAGACAAGAGATTATTTGTAGATTTGAAGCAGCTTCTTCTTTTACTTTCGACTATTGAATATTTTTCGTGCAATTTTTCAGACTTATGGATTGCACAGAATAAAGGTAGACGATCGCTTCAATCAATGTTCGTTACTGAATCTCTGTTTCTTTCTAGCTTTTATGTTGTTGTTCCTACTTTCTACCTTTGAAGATTGCTTGACAGACAATTGCCGGGGACAGGTTACCACCGGAAAAGTAAGTGGCTGATTTCTCGCACTCCCCTCACCATTTTCCAAAAAGCGGACACGAGATTTTGCGAAAAATCAGAGCGAAAAAACTCAGCAAGCGGTTTCTTATAAACTTGCTAACTCGCTGGGTATTCTTCGGAGTGCGAATAACCAGTAAGCTGGGTTTTCCGGTAGTCGTCTATCCGCCGATCGTCTAAGTGATTGTCAGGAATCCAAAACATGGCTTTATTCACCCGATTTTAGCTAGTTTTGTGAATTCTTGCTTCGAACTTTCAGAATAACTTTAGTAATTGATAGAATAACAAAGTGCAGTACAATATTTTTTTTGGCATCCATAGCTAGCTTCCCAAATCTCTGAAGGTATAGAGTTGTCAAGTAAGTTTGCATCAGGTTTCGAAATTTATGTATGACGCACTCGAATTAAGCCAATGTGTAGGCTATGACGTAAGCTACAGGCGCAGCCACAGTTCATTTCTTTCAGACTCTAACGTCACAGTGAGGGCAGCTTGCAGTCAAAGATAAATAAGTGAAAAATGGCAGGTTCACACAAATTTGGCTGAAAGCTGGCGTAGATATTAGGAAAGCTGATCAACGAGAACAATACCATTACGCGCAGTTTTGGCGGGTTCTGAGGTTCTTACTTCTTGTTGAAGTTGTTGTTCTACTATCGAGGGACGAAGATCTGCAAGCGCTTCAATTTGCACTTGATACAGTTTTTTTTTGTTCTCTCCAATATATGTACTTAAAGTGACACTTATAGCGAGCATTCAGACAATGCCCAAAATTTCTTCGTTCTTGCCATATCTATTGGGATGTTTCATAAGTTATCCGTCTTCCGTTCTCACTTCAAAAACTCTTTGTTTCTCAGTCGCCAAAAAGCCTTTGAGAATCTTCTGATAGAAAAAAAAAACAAGCTCTACAAGGTGGCTCGCAAACATTTGCACAGGAATGATATCCACGAAAGTCCATTTAAAAATGGGCTTTTCGCGAATGAAACGCGAATAAAATGTTCTTAGTCCCTGCGGTGCGATGAGATATCGCGTTTGCGAATCCATTCATTCCATACAAAAATGCTTAAGCAAACCTTTCTTCAACTTGCCTCAACCTGTTTACTCACTCTTGCAAACTCATTCCCACCAAGTGGTCGATATCTAGGCTGATCTAACTTTACTATATCAGCCACGTGGATACTCCGTTCTTTTCCATTTCATTACACCTCATAGAAAGCCATTTATTGACTATGACTATGCATCTAAATTAGTTTTAGTCCATCTAAAATCCAAGTAATATCAGGGCATTCGCTCTTCAAAACTTCTATGAATCTGCATTGAATCAAATTCGTATGTGGAGTTTCCAGCAGAAAGCAAACTTTGGCTAGACTTGCATTGCAATTTGTGAATCAAAATGCTTATCTCACAGAAAACCTTGTACTACACTAAAACACAAAGGCTTTTATGCTGGAAAAACTTTGGATCTGCAAAAAATTGATGGCTTTTCATGCTGTACTTTAGTAACCCCAGAACTTTCATGCAAATATGGCGTTTGATATATGAAGCTGTTTTTCTTGCATCAACTGTGTGAGTTTGAGGGGGGATACTAGAATGATGACAAAGCCACTAAATTCAATCTTGCGTTTAGAACTTATCTAGGCATATACTCTGATCCCAAGTCATATGTGCTTTTGATAAAAGTTCTTAGGGGAAGTGCTACGAACAACTGAAGCAAAGCGGACTCATACCCGTCTTGATCAGCATATAGGGAATGCTTGAACCAATGCCTTTTGCTATTGGCCTCCTTTTGCTAACCTTATTATAGATTTTGAACAGAATTCAAATTAACCGGTTGTTGGAAAAGCTCTCGCATAATCCAGTACCAATCAGGTAACCTTTTTTCTCAACCCCAATGTGATGCTCTATAATCGAAAACAAAACAGAGTTCGCTTCGACGTTTTAGGTATTGAAAAGTGTTTTCGGTGACAAAATGACGTAGAGAAGATTTTCTTTATAAAATGACTTGTTTAATTTTGGTAAATCGCGATTTTTTAATATTTCCATACGAGAGCAAGAAGTGACTAATGTATAGACTACAGCTAGTAAGAAATTTTTCACAGAATATTCTGACTTGCTAATGGTACTTTAATACTTCTTGCTACCAAACTCAAAATCGCGAATTTTGAACTGAAGGCTTTGTGTCTGTCTGTCTGTCTGTCTCAACTGTCTACGAAAAAAATTCTTTCTATGATTTTCAAAGCATTTCAAGGCTGTTTGGAAAAGATAGTTTTTTGGCCCTCCTAAAGAGGATAAAACTTTCTCCGTTCGCTTAGTGTCTTAAAATGGGCTACGGAACATATTCTCAAAAAATCGCGATCAAAAATATGCAAGAAGGTCAAAAATGGGCTTAGTCCCAGCACATCTGGCTGCTGGGAGTAAAATGGGCTTATCACAAAGGTGTGAGAGAATGAACATGGAGGTGAACTCCATTTTGTCCCATTCTAAAATGGACTTTTGACGTCATCTTCCGCGAGCGATAGCTCAAGTAAGCTTGAATCATTTTCATTTCACCGCTTTGCCTCGCGGTTGCGATGGGATGAAAAATTTTGGATATCGTAAGCGGGAGCCGATTTCGACCACTTTCTAACGCGAACGAATAAAATGGACTAAGTAAGCCCATTTTCCTCCATTATGGACTTTCGTGGATATGAGTCCAGAATTCAATCCACATTGATTAGAAAATTGAAATCTAGAAACTTTCAAAAGCACAAAAACTCGAGAAAAAGAACTTTGCTAAGAAAATCCTGAGAAGCTATGACTTATTCACACAAGCACTACTCTTATTTAGCATTTATATGCACACTTGCTGCCTTTTTCCATTGCTGGAAAACGAGAAAACAAAATTCGGCATGTTTTTCAAAACGATGCTGAGCTGCCCAATATGTAGTGCTATAGCATGAACCTTTAGAAGTATAACTACAAATCTCCAGCCTTCTGCGAGCGATAGCTTTTGAAAGATTTCGAATGTAGCGTAAAAACCCCAAAAGCGCCATTTTTGTACTCGGCTATCTCTGTTTCTCAGTTTCTAGCACTGGAAAAATTCAGCAAACGTGCACAACACATTGGATGGAAACTGTGTATGCGCGAACAAGCTAGCGTTTTCTAGAAAATTTTTAAGCGAAGTTTTAAATTTCCTTTTGGACTTCTGAAGGTTTTGAGATTTTGAATTTTAACTTAATGTATAATTAACTCAACAAAAATGCGCCAGCAGTACGTTGTAAGCAAAACATTTGTTTCTCTGGAGCACATTTCGAATTTCCGCTGTGTACGAGATTGTGTACGCATGCAAGTGTGACAGACTCAAATTTGTTTATATATAAGAATATACTGTTGGATCTAGAAGAGTGACCTCTCTGAAGTTCAGTGCTGGCGCACTTCTGTTACTTCCGAAATCCAACTCATTCCGAAAAGAATACCCCTTGCTATATATTCTTACGCATCCGGTTTCTGTACGTGTGCGTCGAGTTCTGTTTCAGTGCACTCCAGGTAACATTTAGTCTAGCTCATCTCGTAGCATCTGCGATAGCTGCAACGTTATTCGCTATTTTTTTGATGTTTGGCCCACTTTTAAGTACATTCAACAAATTCAGACTTTTGCTATGTTTCGCGTATCTCGAAGTCTATGAGCAATTCCATCCGGGTATGTAGAGAGTTCTTTTGTGCGAGCGGGCACCTAGTTGCGACAAAACTTGATTGGGAAGGCCAAAAACATCTTTGCGTTTCATGCCCATTGAAATGTTCTTTCTTTAGCATAAGAGCTGAAGACCACAGCTATGAATTTATTGTCGAGAAAGATCGTGAGGTGAGTTTGTTTATTGAAAACCCTGTCATTATGTCCAATACGAATGTGCTGAGTGGGCGTACTTATTGACAGCATGAACTTTAGTAAATCATCTTTGAGGTTAAAGCTAGTCACAATTTTTGCAAAAATTGCATTCTCAATATGCAGCAAAGTTAAAACATGAACAACTGTCACACTGTTACAAAGACGCCAGTATATGGTTGTGCAAGATTTGGAAAAAGCTCATCAGAAGCGGTACAGGGCTTATCAAACGCAGTATCGCTTGCATCAGCATCCCCACTTCCGTGCTAAACTCTGCATCTCTTCCGCGGAAAAGCTCTCTGATCATTTTCCCAGGGCGCGAGCGTGGGGAAGGCGGAGCCTCAATTGACTGGAAGTGATTAGGGGGCATGTTTGCGAAGAGACGCATAGTCCAGGGCGGGAGTGGAGATGCTGAAGCAAGCGACACTGCGTTTGATAAGCCCTGTATTTTAATCTCCCGTTTGCTGTTCTGAGGCGTTTTACCGTTATGCGCGGCCCCGATAGGCGGTAGCGCTCAACGCGTGATTTATGAAAGTTTGGGGCACATGGCCTAAACAAGCAGCAGAGCGATCTGCTAAGATCGGGGCTTCTGTGCTCTACCTACAGTCGGTGCCGCCGTTAAAAACATGCGTCGGAAGCGCTGCTTCGGTATAACTTTGCTGGAAGCCAGATTTCCACAAAGAAAGAGGTCTCACTGGAAAGAGCTCATTCCAATCTATCCAATTATACAACTACTTTTGAAAAAGTATTCATAGATTCTTCTGGTATATTAGAAATGCTGACTAAGTCAAAACGACAATACCAAAACAATTTGTCAACTGAAGAGTGGCGAGGCTTCAAAGAGATACGTGAGCTCATTTCGAATGGTTCCGTGCGTCTATCTGTAAGCGATAAAGGTGGAGAATTTGCGATAATGCCGCAAGAACTGGATCGCTGTATAACAGCAGCCCACCTCGCAGACACAACGACTTATAGAGTAGTTGATGAGAAAGAATATCATACCCAATATAGAAGACTCAACGACGCTTGGACTACGGTAGGGAAGTCTGCAGGTTTTGAAGACACGTTTATTAACGGGCTGAAGATTACAAATCCAAGTTGTCCGGTTTTCTACAGTCTTATAAAGACGCACAAGCTTTTCTGCAAAACATGGACTCAATGTCAACGGATACTTACAAAATAAGACCTATAATCAGTTGCGTTGGCGGTCCAACCGATAAAATTCCATGGTTTTTGCAAAATTGTGAGCCAGTTGCTGTCTAGAGTACCAGCACATTCACAGATATTCGTCGAAAATCTTTACAACGCCAAACTTGACACAGCGCTGTTATAGAGTCGTTTGACGTAACATCACTCTATACTAATGTGCAGAACGACCAAGCTTTACACGCGTTGTCGGAATTGTTGGATAAGTATGCGAATACCATAAGTATGTTTGGACTTGACAAAGTGCTCGCAGACTAGCTATGGACTAAAGACTGGAGCCAGTCCTCGGTTGTCTTATGAGCAAAGTTGAGGAACCAGTGTTAGCTCGTACGCCTCTGCTATATTGCGGCTACATCGACGACTGCTGTGTCATTACATCAACTCAGTCTGAAATGGATGAGTGTCTAAAAATCATGAATCAGCAGTCGCAGTACATCAGACTCACACGCGAAAAACCGAACGACGGTTAGCTGCCATATCTCAACGCACAGGTGAATTTATCCAACGGCATATTTAAGGTAAAATGGTACCCCAATTCTAAGTGAACATGTCACTTCAAACTTTCGTCTTCAATCATTACTTTATTTTTTTTCTAACTTTGTTCTACAGGGCTGAGAGTTGGCACAGGAGGATAAGCGAGCATGCTGATAGCAAATACAATATTCATCTCGAAAATTATCAATAATCCTTCAAAACTTTTAATTTTTTGAAAGCTTTTGAGCGGCGGGAGGGAGTTGGCACTGAAGGTGGCAAGTGAGCAAGCTAAATGCGAAAACATAGCGGGAAAGGGAACTGGCATATAGAGCTGGGACGGGGGCGATATAAAAAGCCGAAATAGCATTTTACACATTGTAATGAAAGAGCTGGGTGTGCTAGTTAGTTGCTGATAAAATTGCCGATAAGTTGATCGCAGTTTGGCAGTTGTTCAACAAATGCAAACTCTAGTATTTACAGGCAAGATTATATCCTACACCGAATGCTATATTCGCAATTACTATCTGTCGTCTGTATGTGGGAGTGAAGTATCCGTGCAAGACTGTATACACCAAACCCTATTTCTGGAAAAGTAAGGAACACGACGAAGAGATCAATTTCACATTTCGTTAAGTTGAGTGATGATCCCGATCTAGTTAAACCTGATCTACAATCAGCCGAAGTTTGCGTACCCTGGAACATGCAAATGCCATAGTGTCCCTGTTGCCATCCCTTGCTTCCTCTTTCTCAGGCAATTGCCTGCAGTTGGTGGTCATTGGAATATTTGCATTGCCAATTTTTCCCACTTCGTTTGCAGAAAAACAAAACTGAACACGCAGATATTGATGCCGATTCCTGATCCCTTTCTCTATCTAATTTTTGCAGATATATTTCTGCTTTTTGTCGTAAAACTTGCGGAAGCCTTGCAAAAGCTATGGTTGATTTTCTAACAATCTGCCAGCTAGGTTGCTTTGATGTCCGCCTGCCTCTGGCAAATTTGTCTAAGCTCTCCCACTTTTTAATTTTCTTTCTTCCTTTTTTTCTCCTCCCTTCAAAGTATAGTCCGCTGCATAACACAGTTGCAGATGTATATATAGAAGCAACATTTTCCACCTCATACACGTAAAAATTTACGCTGCTATTGATCTCAAAGTGTGAAAATTGTTTGATGACGCCTATCAAAGATTCACTTTCCTTGTGTTTGAAATTTGGCAGCACACTTATTACAAGCTTTGATCCATTTAATATCTGACATCAGGAGTTTTTTCTTGTAGCAAGCTTGAGTTCACCCCAAATATCGCAAAAAACCGAACAAGGCCCATGGTAAACCCTCATTTATCTTACAAGGAAACCGTGTCGAGTCGAAGTAGCCTTTCCAGATGAGACCCATACTGCTTTGAAGAGTATTAAGTACGATTCCAAATCTGCTTTCAAATCTGCCAAGCGCCTCTGGATGCCGAGTTATGACCGTTCTTTGGAACGAAAAATGAATGCAGAATCTAGGTAAAATTGATTGTTACAATCTTTCCAGCGCTCAGATAAAGCAGTGTAAAGTATTAGCATTTTGAATAAAATGTATACATTGCATAAACAGCTCTGATACTTGACACTGGACCATTTGAGCAAATTTGGGCTATTTTGCTTCAATTTTGCGTTCAATTTTTTGACCTGAAAAACGAGCATAACTCGACTCCAGAGGCGCTTGGCAGGTTTGGAATCACCGATTAATGCTCTTCAAAGCACTAAGGGTTTTATTTAGAAAGGCCACTTCGACTCGACGGGGTTCCCTTGTTAGTTGATCTGAGATCACTCATTCAGAAGAGCTTTCTAGGGTGAACCTAATAACGCCCACCTTCCCGTGCTTTAGGATAATCAGTTGAAGACTGTAGGCAAAGTGCCATGGTCAGTTTAACAGAATGCACTTAGCAGAGGGCAGGGTTAGAACCGAGGAAGATAGCGTGCAAAAAAGGAGAATCAGACAAAATTCCCGTAAGTTGCTTGTGAGTAACTTACGGGATAATTTAGTCCACGTATTGTTGCGGTGCGAAGCTTGCAAAACTGCGCAGTTTCGGGGGCCTAATTGGGAGAATATCAACTAATAGCTGATCGCGGCGCGGGGGAAGCAAGGATAAAGATTCCTTTCTTTTTTGCAAAGCAGGCTTAATTTTTCGAAATAGCTGCATTATACAAAAAAAAAATAGTGCGTCAGGCTCGCACTGGCCCCACTTTTTATGTGTTACTCATTCTCGCCTAATGATGCATTGAAACTCACCGCACACAATGTCAACATCACGAACAAAATGTAAACAACTACTCATCCAAAAGCTTTTTCATGCGAGATTGGTGCTTTCGCGTAGATGAAACTTTTCGCAAAATAACAAATGCAAATTTTCAATAGGTTTTTGACTTTTTTGGCTTGGTAGTCGCCATATGGACAGTAACCGCCGTGAGATACATCTCTGTGCAAAATTTTCTCAAATGCTCAAGTAGAACCTTGGCAAATTGACCGCTTCCGCAATTAATGTTTTTGGCGTCGTTTTCGTAAAGTATTACACTTTCAATTACTTTTTGGGACCAAAGTTCATGGCTTGCACTTCAAAACATTTCAAACACTTCCATGACTTTGCAAAAAGTGGTGGTACGGACCCAATTTTGTGAGCCAGAAGTGGATCTGTTTGACGCGAAAATTCTGAGGAATCCACTCAACGGATCCGCTCGTGCTTTTGTCTGATGGAGTTATACGCTAGTAGTATGCGCTGTGCAAAATTTGGGCTCAGGACGTTGGCTGGATCTCGCTCTATGATTCGTTACAGAAAGACACACAGACATACACATACAAAAAAAAAACACGTAAACAACCTTAGCCCGTTATTATAAGTTATGACAAGAATCTCTTTACTTGTTTTGTTCGATGTGTGTTCCAAAATTTTCAGTTTTTTACCACGAAATCTTCGTCAAAATAAGTTATTTGGTAATTTTCATGTTCCGTAGTCATCAAACCTGGGTATGTTCGCAAGTGTCGAATATTGTTGTGCCGAACAGGTTGTTAGGTGGTCCTTTTATTGTCAATACTTTCGGCCTTACTTTTCGACGCTTTCGTCTTCATCAGAGGCCTGGAATGGTTCAAAGCTTTATCCGTAACTCCAGCCCATCAAAAGTCTCCGCCAGCCCAGTTCTCGGCTCTTCCCCCAATCTAGTGCTCCAAAAATTGTGATGACAAAAGACATACCAGGGAACCACCGCTTCATTAGATGTCCGCACCGGATGTAGATGTTCGCGACGGACGACTGAACTATACTGAGGGATGTCACATAAACAGTTGATGAAAACAAAAATAAAAAATAAATAAAAAAATAACAATAAAATAAAATAATGAAATAACAATGAAATAACACATACATAACAGGGATGTCACAAACTGTTGATGGAAACAAAAATAAAAAAATAAAAAAATAACAATAAAATAAAATCATGAAATAACAAATAACACACATAACAGGGATGTCACAAAGTGTTTATGTGACATCCCTCAGTATAGCTCAGTCGTCCGTCGCAAACATCTACATCCGGTGCGGACATCTAACCGGTGGTTCCCTGGTATGTCTTTTGTCATCACAATTTTTGTAGCACTAGATTGGGAGAAGAGCCGAGAACTGGCAAGGGCTGGTGGAGACGTTTGATGGGCTGGAGTTACGGATGAAGCTTTGAACCATTCCAGGCCTCTGACGAAGACGAAAGCGTCGAAACGTAAGGCCGAAGAGTACTGACAACAATAGGGCCACCTAACAACCTGTTCGGCACAACAATATTCGACACTCAAGTTATTTGGTTTTGTTTTATCTGTCCATTTGCTAGGTAATATTCTTGATAGCGGTCATCATCTTTTCAGATAGTGGCCGCTATCATAGATGCCCGCCAATGACGAAAAAAGTTCGCCGTTAGGCGGCCTCGAAGCATGGCATCGCGCGTTGAATCCTAAACTCTTACCCGCTCGACCACTCCTACTCAAGCATTCCCAGTTTGAGAATGCACAAGGTCTTTAGGCCTAGAAAGCGATCCGCAGCCTAATCAGTAATATGGAAGCCGGACTAGGCGTCCTACGTTCAACTGACCCGCTCTCAGCCGAGTTGCGCTGAGCAGGGATTACTAATGGCCAAGGTCGAAAATGCATCCGTTGCAGCATCGCTCCTTCTTTCTGGCGGCCTGGCTGAAACCAGACTTTATAGCTTTTAAAGTGATATACTCTTTCGTAGTAGGAACGGATTTTGTAATGTGTGTTCTTTTGCAGCTCCCGCCGCTTCAGAAAATCAATGGATAAAACAGAATTTTGACCCATCGATTTTTATGTCATGTAGAAAGCTAGATTCTTTTCATGTAAAAACTTTTGCAGCTTTCGAAATACGTGATAAATGCACAACCTCTTTTCTTGAAACGATATCAAATCTGCCAAATCACTTAGTTTGGGAAGTTATGATGGGATAAAAGAAGTTGAAAAAACTTTTAGTATATATTATGCTCTACAAGTTGAAATGTACCAAATGGAAGGTCATGAAAAAAGGACGAGTACTGGTAAATATACGAAACATCTAATTCTACCTCCCAAACGTGACGACTTACTTGAAGTTACAAGAGTCTGTTTGGTATTAAGTTGCACACAGTTTAATAACTTACTGTAAGACAAATAAAGCCGAGTAGCTTTTGAACTTTTGCTTCCGTCTTCGACACGGTTGGAGAGTACATTTCAAACCTTTGAGGAGGTAAATTTTGAGCAATTTCGCATCCACTGCGAATTTGCGTTATTCAATGAAATTACATTCAGAAAAATGAACGTAATGAACGTCGTCACTTGCGGGGCAAACAAACAGATATAGTACACCCAGCGTGAAGACGCAGGAAGGCGCGTCTGAAGCTGTGATAGAATGTCAACATCAGAAAATGGGCTTTTGCGCTCTTCAAATGGGTTTGGCAATTTCCAATTCTTCGACAATTTTTCAAAGACGCACGCTAGCGCTTTGGGCTCACAATATTGCATAGAGAATGCTTGCAGAATTCTGTGACATGATTCTGAACCCTAAAACTAAAAGTTTATTGCAACATTACTGCAATAAGAATGCAAATAATTTTGGCGCACCTAGTAGGCGCATATTCATCTGTGCTCTAAATCCATTTACAATCAGGAGTTGCGAGGCAGTTTGAACACCGAGTCTTTTGCGCAGCGCATTCGTAAAACAATAAGTTTAGATGATGTTAATAAATTGGAAAAATACGAAAAATTTTAGAATACATAAAGGCTTGCACCTTGTAACCAAACAGAAGTTTCTAGGGCCGCTGGTTAAAGATGTTCGCCTTGACTTTCAACTTGAGTCCGATGAAAGGATAAAAGTGAATGTTAATTACGCACACGAATTGGTCGATTCAATTTGCCAGGTGAGGATTACAAGCTTCATCTCAACCAATACATTTCCCCTGTCACCCAATAATAAAGTGAAATGGAAAACAAGGTTCGGCGTTATTTGTTGCAATGCAGTTTTATTCCTGCTCAGATCTTGAACATTGTAAAAATTTTGATCGCATAAAGTTATCGTTTAGTCCATATTGCTACTACTCCTGCTCTGAGTCTCTGACATGCGGCACGCATGGCTAACATGTTGGCAACGTGCAACAACATGTCGGCAACAACATGTCGGCAACAGCATGGTTGTTACTTTGAGGACAACATGTTGTTGCACGCTTGTTGGGAGACAATCGAATGGGATATATTGATCGATTCGTACGTTACGTTACGTTACATTCTTACTAGTTGAGAGAAGCAAGAAACAAGTTTAAATTTATTTTGCTACTTTAAAATTCCAACTGTCTATATTTCCTTAGGGTTCCTTCATACTATGCCGTAGGAATCGCCCTGGAGATATACGCTCACTGCAACGCCTTTTCGCTGGTTATGTATGTATCTCTATATCTCCTGCACGTTCACGTTCATACATACATAACCAGCGAAAAGGCGTTGCAGTGAACGTATATTTTCAGAGCGATTCCTGCGGCGCACGCCGCGTCCTGCGGCGTAGTGTATGAAACTCCTACATTTTCTAATGTACTGACAATAGTCTCAAAATCTGAAAATCTCGCTTTTGTAGAAAACGGAGCCAGTCTAGCAATGACAGCTGCCGAAATGCGCGCCTTTCAACATACACTCTGCGTGATGCAATATTCCGTGCGTGCTGCAGATCTGAGACGCAATCATGGTTAGCGCACTCGTAGATTGGACGTCGGTTTAGGCCCGTAAGCACATACATCCCGCAGGGAGGAAAAGGGATCTGAAGGGGGACGCGTCATATCTTGCTACTCTAGTCACCTTTCTTTTTTTCTTATTTTTCTGTCTGGGTTATGAAAGGTCCCATACCTTGAAACCTTCGCATAGTGCTTGCCAGGGTATTGTTGTACAAGATCAGATCAGACCATTTTTTGTGATCCCCTGGGGATACACAGAAAATCATTTTCAAAGTTGTTCATCTTCTTATAAACTCAATGAAAATGTTGTAGAATTGTGCTGAGAATGTGATATGACACTGCTAAAGATTTATAGCAGAAGTAAATGAAACCTCAGGAAATCGCAACCGTTGAACAACAGCACGCGAGTTAGGGATTCTCGAAAAAATCACAGCCCTCAGATTCCATTTCTCCTTTCGAAAACATGCTTAGCAGTGCCGTATATTCTTAGTACATTTTACAGCAAAGGAAAGGTGTATTGACACTTTGACACATGACCCACATGGTGAGACAATGCGACCCTGGCTCATAGCTCGATTTTTGTAGAGCTGGGTACTATGTTGCAATACATTCGTTTCGAAAGATATCTTGCGCTCTGGATCTGAACGTTGCTCCCACGTTTCTCTTACACTGAAGATGAGGGCCTCCGCGATTTTAGTCAATAATTTCCAATTTATTCTTGGAAAGCGTTGTCCCACAAGGTAGATAACTATTAGGTTGTCAAGAAAATAATGTCCGTTTTTATTTGCTTGCTTTAACAAAGCAACCAGACTCAGCCCAACAAAGGGTAAGGGGTACTGTTCGATAGAGCAAAGCAAGCTCTACAAGATGGCACTCACGTCTTTGCGCCATGCTCGATCCACGGAGAGTTCGAACTCAAAATCTAACGATTTCCAAATGCCCAAAAAATCGAAAAAAATCAGATCTTCGTCCAAATAATTTCTACGGACCTCCCACTCGCTCACATCAATACTATTTATATCTGATATCCACATGTACGATTGCCGTATTTTTTCCTTGACTAGAAACTGAGAAGACGAAAATTTCCCTGATTTTCTCAAAGCAATGCTGAGCCGTTTTTGCATATGTGGTTCTATACTACAAGCCTAGGTAAGCATAACTGTAGGTTTTCAGCCTATTTCGAGCGGTACTTTTCGAGAAATGTCGATTTTAGCACTGAAACTGAAACGAAAAAATCCGAACTCGTTATTTTTCGAAAACTACCGCTTGGAATGGGCTGAAAATCTACAGTTATACTTACCTAGGCTTGTAGTATAGAACTACATATGCAAAAACGGCTCAGCATTGCTTTGAGAAAATCAGGGAAATTTTCGTTTTCTCAGTTTCTAGTCAAGGAAAAAATACGGCAATCGCACATATGGTATCAGATATCGATACCATTGATGTGAGCGAGTGGGAGGTCCGTAGAAATTATTTGGACGAAGATCTGATTTTTTTCGATTTTTTGGGCATTTGGAAATCGTTAGATTTTGAGTTCGAACTCTCCGTGGATCGAGCATGGCGCAAAGACATGAGTGCCATCTTGTAGAGCTTGCTTTGCTCTATCGAAAAATACCCCTTACCCTTTGTTGGGTTGAGTCTGGCTGCTTTGTTAAAGCAAGCAAATAAAAACGGACATTATTTTCTTGACAACCTAATAAAAATGCGCGATGTCGCCAACGCGTTAAAACAAAATGATGAGTTCCTTCAGAATTCAAGAAAATAGAAAGGTAGTGCATACCATCTAACTGATAATAATTACAAATAAACTACAAATATATCGCTACTGATAACGTCATTCAGATCGGTTTTTGGAAAGGTCATAAATTTCCGCTAGGAAAAAAAATTGACTGGGAACACACAACTGAAAGAACAATCCAGCATGACGTGGTACAGAATGGTGAGTGTCTTGCTAACAATCAAGAGATAAGACAAGAAAGGATAAAATGAATAGAGTCAAGGTTGACCGAATTGCACTGAATGAAACAATAGATGAGTGACATCAAAATTAAATGTGACCCATATTTGAAGTGTTCTTTCCCCGTTACTACAAAGCGCGCTCTCGGCGCTTCATGTATCATTTCATATAGATTACACATGCATAATAGTAGCAAATCCTTTACTCATTCTGAATGCTCTATCGAGAAAATGTGATGGACCTCTGAAAACGTAATACTTCCGTCCGTTTTCTCAGACGTCTTAATGGTTCTATTTTTCTTCAAACTGAAGTACTTAGATACTTACTTAGATACTTAGATGGCCCGGTTTCACGTGACGTACTGGCCCCAGCTCAGAAGTTTCCATTCCTCCCCGTTCCTCGCTTCAGACATCCACAATCTTCTTGGCTGACGTCGGTGACTGCGTCCACGAGTTCCAGGTGCAAAAATCGTATCCAGCTAATTTCTCAGCTGGCTCATCCGTTCCACGAACACGTCTGCCCATCTCGTTGGAGGTCTTCCTCGGGGACGTTTTGCTTCGCGAGGAACCTACTCGACTTTCTTAGTGGTCCATCTGTCGTCTGTTCTTCTCATAATGTGACCGGCCCCATCAATGCTTCGCTTTCGCAACGTAATCCGCTGGGCCACGAAGACGGGACATTCTCCTCATATCCGCACTGCGAAGTCCGACGAGATGTTGTTTGTGTCGGGTCATCTCCAGAAGATTACGCTCTAGCGCTCTGTGGGTGGTCCTTGAAGCTTTCGAAGTGGCGACGGTGTCAGTCCAAGTCTCAGCTGCGTAACAGAGCGCCGGGAGAACGCTTGAGTCGAACAGGTGGGCACGAAGCTCCGGGTCCGTCAGTTGGTCGATGGCTTCCTTCAGAGGCCCCGAGGGCGGCCCAGGCTGCTCTTCTTCCCCTGTTAAGTTCTTCCCTCAAATCGTTTTCCATGTTCATCGAACGTCCGAGATACACGTAAAAAGACGTCTCCATAATAGAGGTGCCTTTCAGTTCCATTTCTGCATCTTCGCAAAGGGCGTTTCTCATAAACTGAGTCTTCTTCCGATTTATTCGCAGTCCAATCTTCTTCCCATTTTCGTTCAGTTCCTTCAGCATCGTCTCTGCTTCGGTGATACTGCTCGAGAAGAGAACGATGTCGTCCGCAAAACGAAGGTTGAACAGGAATCTCCCATCAACTCGTATGCCTTTCTCGTCCCAGTCCAGTGACTTCATCACCCAATGCAAGGCCGCGGTGAACAGCTTCTGCGATATAGTGTCGCCTTGTCGATCGAACCCCCTTCCCGATCGGAATGGTCAGCGGGCGATGGAACAGCTGCATCGTCGTTGTACAGGCCTAGTAACAGTAGGCTAACGTCCTCACGTAAGCTGGGTCCACTCCGTGATCGACTAGCGCAGACAGGATGGCGTTGGTTTCGACGCTGTCAAAGGCTTTCTCGTAGTCGACAAGGGTTAGGACGAGAGGCAGTCGGTATTCCCGGCAGACTTCTATAACCCTCGAAACCGTTTGGATGTGGTCCATGCAGCTGAATCCTTTGCGAAATCCAGCTTGTTCTTGGGATTGGGCTTCATCCAGTGTCCTAGATATCTAGATATGCAAGCGAGGATAATCTTCGTGAAAAGCTTGTACAGCACACTCAGCAGGCATATTGGACGATAGTTCCGAAGATCTTCCCGTTCACCCTTCTTGAAAAGAAGGACGGTTCTTGATATTCTCCACTGGTCGGGAATCCTGTCCTTCTGAAGGTAAGATATTAGGTGCGACGCGAGAATCTCGTGTAGACGTTGTCCTCCAGCTCACAGAAATTCGACGGAAAGATGGTCTGGTCCTGGAGCCGTGGACGTCTTCATGGTCTGAATCGCTGTGCGCATTTCAGCAGGTAGAATTCGTGGTGGTACTTCTTCAATGGGAACAACGGGCATCGGCACGGGTGTTGATGAGCGGAAGAGGTTGGTATAGAAGTTCTTCGCGATAGATTCCATCTTGTATCGGAAAGAAGTCGGAGTCCCGTCTTCGTTTAATAATGCACCCAGCGGTACGTGATATTCACAGAGGTCTCTCCGGCACTTCTTGAGACTTCGTCTTCCTTCGGCTACTTCCAGTATCTTGGCTTGCCTGTACTTCCTGAGATCCTCCTGTAAAGCTGTTCTGCAATTGGCGTTGACAATCAGTCGCTCGAGATGGGTTGCATTCGGATCCTGCCTCAGAAATCTTCTTCTTTCGAGCGTTTCCTTGGTGGTGTTCGAAATGCGTTTCACGTTCTTCTCGGAAGTCCCTGAGGCGCACTCTCCGCAGGCTCGCAATCCTTTCAGAAGCCGGTTGTAGTCGTACGTTGGGTCCTCCTCGATGGGCCAATCACAACTTGATATGAGTTTTTCCAGCCTGTTACCGTCATAAACGACATTCTTCCTTCTTGCGGTACTGTGACAGACTTTCTTTTCTAGACTGCAACTGAATCGTATCTTCGCTCGAAGGAGGCGGTGATCGGAGCCACTGCAGAAGGATGGAACTACTGAGACATCGAGCAAGCTCCACTTTCGGTTGGTGAGAATGTGGTCGATCTCCGCGTGAGTCGTTCCGTTGGGCGATTCCCATATCCACCGGCGATGTTCTTTCTTCATGAAGATGGAATTTCCATGAAAAAGTCGTGCGGCGGAGAGAAGCCCAACAAGACGGTTGCCGTTTTCGTTTTGGAGGCCATATCCAAACTTCCCGATCTTATATACCTTTTCCAGTGGCATCCCAATTTTCGCGTTGAAGTCGCCCACAACAAACTTGTAAAAGGACTTCTCGTTGTGGACGATCTCCTCCACATCTTTGTAGAAAGCATCTCGTTCTAATTCGTCAGCTCTAATGTTGGAGAATAGCAGTCGATGATGCTGATGGTCTTCTGATGTGGAGGTCGTAGTCGTAGGATACCTAGTCGAGGTGATAATATCTCGTGCGAATCGACAAGTGGATGATAGATGGGTGGACGACAAAGCCGACGCCTCCCGGGTTTTGTGATGGAACCTTTTCACCACGTATGATGACGGTTCCATCACTCATCCGTCGCACGTCCTTCTTCCTGGACTTCGTTTCCTGCAGAGCGATGATGTGGTACTTGATGTGCTTTGCAGCGTCGAGAAGAGTGTGGAGGTCGGCGTTCGTGGAGACTGTCCTGGCGTTGTAGGTGCAGAGCATGAGGCAGTTTCCATGTAATGTCGTCCGGGCAGACGTGTCGTTTGTGTCCGATCCAAAAGGCGCCCTAAGGACCCTGACATCGTTCTTGCTACCACCCGGCGCAGTAGGCGGGATTCGATGTACAGGGTTTTTTCTAAGTCTTCTTGCTATCTGAGTAATAAAATTTGTCCCCCTACAAGATCAGACTTACTATGCCAACTCTTGATTTCCACGGGGCGATCGCTGACCCCAGGCTTGGAGCGGGGAGAACCGCCTAGCGACCAGAAGAAGCCAGACGGCGGGGGATCTGACGTGGCCGGTTCATAGCCAATCCGACCGAGACCGGAAACGTCGAACTACTTTACAGCTTGGGAGGCTCTACCAGAGTATACACTCGGCTGTGCATCGCAGTTCGACACCCAGTGTCACCCCCACGCCACGATGGGGCGACCGACCATTGTGGGGGTCAAATTGGAGTATTCAAAGCAACTATGAGTTCTGAGTAATTCTGAAGTATCAATTTAATTATTCTCCGCATGGAGCTAGGCTAGAATGCATTATTGTTTTAGAAGCTTTCGGGGGATTCGCATGAGTGCAACTATCTTCTAGTTCAGGCAGCTTAGATAGTTCAAATTCTTTTCTCCATAAAAAGAATTTGAGCTATCTAAGCTGCCTGAACTAGAATTTCTCTTCTGCAACAATTGACAATGAAGTTGAATAAAGTGAAGTATGCCACAAAATAATTTGGAAACTTCCTTTGCACTCGATTCGAAAAAGATAGCATTCAATCTGTTGCACATGAAGAGAACCTTCCTTTTATCTATAGAGCACCAGCTGGCTTTTCCGGCTCCGCCCGGCCCTGTCAAAAGACTATGATAAAGGTCTTATCCCTAGCCTTGTACAATTTTTCCCTACCCACTTCTACATGCCAATTCCCTATTCCCGCTGTCTTAATTATCGCCATGCTCACCTATCCCTCTGTGCCAAATCCCATCCCCGTAGCTCACACCTTGCAAAAAATCGATAAATCGATGAAAGTAGCGGATAATTTGAAAACTAATATCGTATTGGTAATCAGCATGCTCGATTATCCCCCTGTGCAAACTCCCATACGCGTAGGTCAAACTTTGCAAAGAAGCGATAAAAATTGATAAATCGATGTCGATCGACGAAGAAAAGTAGCTCATGACACACGCTCCGCCCCGAAAAGTATGTGTACCAAGTTTAATTCGAATCGGTTGAGAAATCGAATTTTCATATTCGGAGCATTACAGACAGACAGACATACACATAGTGTGGACCCCGGCCAGCTTCCCATAGGTACCTGCGCGACGCACCCGCAACGCACGCCTTTAGTGCGTCTCCTGTCCTAGCTTCCGATGGAAATCCTCCTTTCTTTCTCTTTTTTTTGTTTTTGGTGTACTATATTCTCTCTATAGCAGGTATAAACAATTCGCGGTGACCGGTGACGAGATTTCACGTGCTCCAATAGTTCTAGGATCTTCAGTCATGTTTAGTAGTCTTGTCTTTTCCCTTTTTTCTCTGAAAAATTGAAATTTGATTGGATATTAAGATAATACCTCTTCAAAAGTTTCTTGCATAAAATAAGAGTCTCTCTTGGTTTGATGTGTAAGGTGTAGACAGTGTCTCAAGTCAGAATTGAGCCTTCCGAGAAGCCAATAGGCATTTGTTTACTTAAATGTCCACTTTTTTTGAAATCTTTGACCACTTTAATTTCTACGTCTACGAAGAGAAATGTTTTGAAAATGCTGTTGTTTTTTAA